AACAATCCACCCGCCTCGGCCTCCCAGAGTGCTGGGATTACATGCGTGAGCCACCGCGCCCGGCCTAGTTCCATGTTTTAGTAAGTGACGTGAAGGAAAACCAGAGAATAACCCTGAGAGAAGGTCTCCCTACAGAGATGACGTATTACCAAATGTAAATATGATGGAGAATCCTCTTAGTTTGTCAAAGAGTTAACTCAAAATTGGTGTACTGTTAAGTATTATTATGTGTTGCAAACCTTTAAAATGGCACAGAAAAAAAGTTGCCCAATATTTGGCAACTTGTTCAATTAAAATCCATATTGGTTGCTCAGTATAGATATGAGTGACTCTTAAGTGTACATACTTTAACCTCATTCCAACTCTTTCTTCAGGTTCTATCCTATGGTCCTTTCTTTCAGTCAAGATTATTTCTTGGTCTTCTAGTAATGAGACCTCTTTGAAGAGAGAGAGATTCTCATAGCTGAGAATCTCAGCTAATGACCTACCAGAGTGACTTGGGAACTTTAGTCATCTTATCTTCTCCACCGTACTGTTCTCTAGTACACCAAGCATTCCCTCACACCACTCACTCCAAATAAATATAACCTTACCTAAAAATAATGTGCTTACCATGTAGAGTTTCAAGAAAAATCTCCTGGATCCAAGATTCCCTCTATGTAATAATTCTGGAACTCCTACTTGCTTACCTTATACATATTCTATTTTATAGGAAACAGAGTGTTAGAAAAGGTTCACTGTATTTGTAAGTCCATTTTAAAGTGAAGAATAATTTAACAGGGCTAGTTTTGGTCCCAGAAATGGTGGAGCAGCTTAATTCAGACAAACCTTCCAGTAGATAATAATTTTAAACCCTGGTCAAAATATATAAAACTATATGAAGAGCAACAAAAATTAAACAGAAACCGGAGGATATTTTTCCTTGAAAGAATAGTACTGTACTATGTGAGATTTCCCCCCACCCACCCACTTTTTTTCCTGAAGATTCTTGCTTGACACCATGGGAGGGGATTACTAAAAAGCCTCAGTCTTATTGGCCTGATGTTATCAGAGAACAGAGTTCAGGGCTATCAGAGTAGGTGGAAATTGAGGAGAGAAATCTCAGAAAGTAGGAAACTAGAGATGAAGGAGCTCCCAAATTGGCATATAAATTTCTTTCAAATCCTTGCCTAATCCCTAAAGTGTGTGTTTACAAAGAAGCCTTCAAGGACCCTTGAGGAAAGCAACAGCTGGAAGAATGAGGAAGCTGAGCAGACATTTCAACTGGTGAATACCACAGTAGGGGCACAGTTAGAATCCCACCAAGTAAGAGGGCCTTGGTAAACTCCTCAGACTTTCCATTGAAACCTCACAAAGGTGATACCTTAGGAGAAAAGCTATATCCTTGGACTAAGGCTTCAGTCTAAGACTGAAGGGAAACTTCAAACAAATTATTCCTAATGAAGTATAAAACCAAGCCTCCATAAGGTGAAGGTAGTCAGCCAGTATTTTACCTACCTGTTGGGACAGAAATGAACACTTTTCAGAGAAAGATGACAGAATCTGGGATATCTACAATATATCATCCAAAATGGCCAATATGCTATAAAAACAAGAATAGGAATTCAAAGAAATGGGAAAATGTGACTTACAGTCAAGAGAAAAAGGACACAATAAAAATAGACCCTAAAATGACCAGGTATAGGACTTTGCATATAAACACTGTAAAGTAGCTATTATAAACATGCCTAAGGACTTAAAGAGTGTTGTAATGAGTGAATAGTTAGAGAGAACTTAGCAGAGAAATAGAAACTATAAAAGAGAACCAATGGACATTCTAAAACTGAAAATTATTATATCCGAAATGAAAAACTCACTGGGTGGGCTTAACAGCACATTGGTTATGGTAGAAGAAACGATCAGTGAATTTGAAGATACCTCATCAGAAATTATTAAATCTAAAAAAAAAATGAAAAAAATTGAGATGGGAAATCAGCAAAAATGGTAAAGTAAAAAAGATTTTCAGGGCCTTTGATAATCACCTCCATAAAAGCAGTGAAAACACTGGCAAAAATAAAGGAAAAAAAAACAGAATCAACTTTGTCATAGCTCTAAAAATTAAGCAAATGCTTTCAGCAATCTGAGGAGCATTTATTCAAGAGTGCTGACTCTTGGTCAGAACAGTAAGCATTGTGACAGTTTAACTTACCCTATTCTAATTCCCCATCCTCAGCTCTCTAATAGCCTTGAAAACCTACAGCCTGGCAGCCATTAGAGGGGGAAGAATAGTGTTGGAGCTTCTTTAAATTCCCATTCCCAGAGAATTATCATTATTTGCTTGGTCTGGTGGCTTCCTGGAAGACCTCGTTTGCAAGGCTGTCTTTATTTGATTTATCTTGGAGCTCATGCAGTGCAAATAGCCCTTTCTCAGGGGTGTTTGTCAGAAACAATCAGAGGAAAGCTGGGCATAGTGGCATTCATCTGTAGTTACAGCTGCTCAGGAGGCTGAAGCAGGAGAATCACTTAAACCCAGGAGTTTGAGGGCAGCCTGGACACCATACTGAAATCCTGTCTCTTAAAAAAAAAAACAAAAAAACAGAGACAATTGCCTAACATCAGAGCTGCCCGAGGCAGTTAACAGTTGGAGTAAATAATAGGCTTACCAAAAAGCTTAAAAGAAAAAGCTAGGGGATGAAATGTCTGTAGGGGACTTTAAAAGCTTTGAGATATTCCTTGGAATCTAGAAGGCCATCTACATATATAGGGCTATGTGCATGCTCAAGGCTATGAACATGCCCTGAAAAGATCTAAAAATACCCTAAGTTTTCACCTCTGTCTAATCTTGAGGCTCTATAGAAGCAGAAGTGAAG